TAGACTTTAGCGATTTCTTCATCTTTCTTCAATTTTAAAATAGTTAAAGAGAAATAAAAAATGATACTATCATAAAAAATGTGATTTGACGGAATTTTTTCGATATTTTCTTTTGCTAACAAATAAGCGGATTCTAATTGGTCATCGTTGAAAAGATTTATAATTTTTTTTACAATATCTTCAAAGTTTTTTTCAGATGATATTATAATCTGTTTTGATATATCTACATGTGTATTTTGTATTTAAATATTTTTATAATTAATTATAATATTCTAATAAATTAATAAACAAATCAAAATAAAATCTTTAACATTGAATCTTTCACAATATAAAAATGTCCAACCTCAACCAAATTGATCTGAATGATTTTTCTGATAGAGTTAATTTATAAAAATACCAATGTGGAGATTGTTAAAACGAAATGAATATTATTAGATCTAGATGTAGTTATCAAAAAATTTTTAAAAAATAATAACGAATTTCAAAATAAATTTAATATTATCTCAAAATTAAGGATCCAGCATCCAAACATCATTACCTTTTATGGATGTTGTTCTGACAACCCTCTTAATTTAGTTTTTGAATATGCGGATCAGGAAAATCTAAGAGAATATCTAAAAGATAAATTTGATTTGATAACATGGAATAATAAGCTTAAACTTTGTAAAGATATTACTCGTGGTCTACATTTTTTACATAATTACGATATAATTCATAAAGATATATGGTCCAAGAATATTTTAATTTCACAATGTACTGCCAAGCTTTCCAATTTTGGATTTAGCAAGTTTGAGAATGAAGAAACTAGACCAATTGATGGTCTGAGAAAAGTTTTGTATATCAATCCTCAATACATCATCAACCCCAGGTAAGAATTATCAAAAAAATCAGATATTTATTCATTGGGTGTTATCTTTTGGGAAATTTCAAGTAGTGAAATACCATTTAAAAATTTTTGCGTTGAAGATGCAATTGCAATACATATTTTTAATGGAGAAAAAGAAACTCCAGTTAAGGACACACCCGAGTGGTATACAGATATTTACATTAGATGTTGGGATCAATTACCAGATAATAGACCAAATATTAAGGAAGTTTTTGATATTATTAAGAATTATTAATTAGTTCTTTTATAAATTTTACATGTATTAATAATTATTTTTAAATAAACAACTCCG